AGCTACCTGTTTGCAGTGTGTTGTATTTATACAAGATTATCTCTTGCCGCTATTGGAATCTTGTTCAAATACTTAAAGAGCAGACATCAGCACTAGAGATGGGGGTATTTGTATACAAATATCCCCGCAGAGGTGGAAATAACAAGGGTCCGGCCCCCATGGGGCCGGAATGTCCATTCACAATTTGACCGCGGCTGCTGGCTCCGCGGAGGCCTCCTATCACGCTGTTGTCTGCAATCGATTACCCAGTTCTGGCAGGAGGCGGGATGACAAGTGGCTAATCCTTTGCGGAGAACAGAGTGATAGGAAGCCTCTGCAGAGACAGCGGCAGCAGCAAAATCGTGAGTGGACACTCATTATTTCCATCTGTGTGGGGGTATTCATATTTATATATGAATACCCCCAACTCTAATCAGGACCCAACAATATCACTGTTTCTCTCTTAACCTGCATGGGGGACACCCCCACTGCAATTCCACAAGTTGCCAGCAACGTACGGAAACCTTGCAAACCATAAAATATCAATTTAGGTGCAGATGCACTTCTATTGCTAATACAGCAAAACCTGAACATGCTGAGCTATTAAAAAGCCCAAGGCATCTGGAGGCAGGCAGAATGAATAAGCTTGGAATACAGATACTCCTCATGAATTAAATATGCAGCAAAGTGTTTTCTCTATGCAGGAAATTAGACGAAACATCCGTGCTGCTCTACAACAGGAAGGCGCTTTTCAGGGGAGTGTGCCATTGATAATATTAGTTAAGAGCTACTCAGCAAGAGAATGAAGTAGGAAGCAAGTCTGTGATTGACTTCCAAATGGCTGGCATCTCCTGGCAAGGAAAAGGTTTTTGATATAAAAAAATACTTCATTAAATATACTGTTTTGTAAAGAATAGAAAATCTATATGATTTATGTGAGGCTCCTTTTAAAAGAAATTGTTTTTAAAGTGATATCTGGAGAAAAGAGTTCTCAGCCTAGAACCTCAGTTTAGATGACACCATATAAACAAAATTTAAAGGTGGCATCCCTAGCCATTCTCAAAAGGAGCCACGTGGCCCCCTGGGAGGCCCTGACGCATAAGAAGAGGGCCACAAACTGGAATCAGTTCTTCACATGCCACCTTATAAGGTTAATTGCATGACATATTCAATCCTGATTTGGCCTCTATTTCTTTCATATTGTATTTATAGCCATGGTAAAATAAAATAAAAATAAAAGGTTAAGAATGACTGCAAACCGAAACATAAATGACTTAGTAAAAGCTACCTGGGCCCTTACACTCCTGTGATCTTCTAGGGAGACTTTTCCAGGGGTTGCCATGCACTCCCTTGAACAATCGGGCAGCTACTCAGAAAAAGGTGTTCATGACTTTGTGGATACTTAATTATCAGTTGAGCAGTGGAAGTAACATGGTAAATTTGCGCCAGAGATTAGATATGATAGATTAATAAAGCAGACAAAGTTAAATTAACTTTTTTACCTAAATCATTTAAAAAAATTATCTCCAAGATGGGCAATGTAAGGACTGTGTTGTGACTTTCTGTTTTCTACTGACTAAAGAAACTGTGTGTCTAGAGAAAAGGGGCTGCAGGCTGGATTCACATAGGGGATCTTCACTATGTTGGAGGGTCAAAAGTGAGTCTGAGTTATATGGAGGGATATCTCACACCTTTATCACCTGATAAGAGCCAACTCTTTTTCTGCAGAAACCCTCCCACTACTTCCTAGAACTCAACACGATCTTCAGATCCAGCCTTTCCCACTTCTTCTTCCATCCTGCTTACTCTTTACATCTATCCAACGAAGAGAGTGCTCTCTTGAAAGTTTGCACTGTTGGCACAAACACGATCTTCAGATCCAGCCTTTCCCACTTCTTCTTCCATCCTGCTTACTCTTTACATCTATCCAACAAAGAGAGTGCTCTCTTGAAAGTTTGCACTGTTGGTTGTGCTTTTGCACATTTCATACCTCTTCAGTTGGCCTAACAGAAGTATCACCTTAGTATGTATTCTAATATAATTCATATAATCCTAAACCCCACATTCAGTGCAAGTCCGCCAGGACTGTTATACTCACGTATATAGAAAAAATGTACTGTTTAAAAGAAAAACTAGTTCACCTCTGAATAGGTTGACATAACAGTTTGCACACATGCAACACTACAGCATCCTTTTGCTATAAACGTGATAACAAGAAAAGTTCTAAGCAACATTTGCAGGTCTTGAATTTTGATGAAGTGTGTACTAAAATCTCAACACCTTCAGGTGGAGGCCACCAAAGAGTAGTACGAATGTTACAGTTATCAGAAGAGAGAAAATGAACGAGAGTCCAAACAAAATGTACTGTTTAAAAGAAAAACTAGTTCACCTCTGAATAGGTTGACATAACAGTTTGCACACATGCAACACTACAGCATCCTTTTGCTATAAACGTGATAACAAGAAAAGTTCTAAGCAACATTTGCAGGTCTTGAATTTTGATGAAGTGTGTACTAAAATCTCAACACCTTCAGGTGGAGGCCACCAAAGAGTAGTACGAATGTTACAGTTATCAGGGCTGGCTAAAAGGAGACTCAGAGCAAATACTGAAATTCCAGCCAGCTACAAATATATCAAGCTAATTTCAACACCAGTAGCCTCAGGACAGGCAATTCAAAAGCGGCCACTCTCCCCCTCCAGGGATTCAGCAATGATGTTTGCATTTGATTGCCAGGAAATCCCTATATTTTATATGGTCAGCCAGATGAACAATTTTGGGCAATTAACTGTATAAGCAGCTGTCTTACAGTGTAGATGACTGGTACATCTAATCTAGTATTATGTTTGGAAACAACTGCAAAATCGCTTTTCTAGTTCTTCTGTCTGAGATCTTTTAAACTAGAGATGCCACACACTGAACCTGAATGACCTGATTTAAGGAAAAGAGCAATACAAGGTAGAGTGTTACTGGCCATTATGTTATTTTACATTAATAGCATTGTTGTGCCCTCATTACCCCAAAAAGAAGTACCTAAAGTGCAACATTATTACTTCTCTATGTTACTTCCTAGCTTGGTCCTGATACAATGAATTAAAACAGCCTTCTTGCCTCCCTCCAACTCTGCCAGCTTTTGATTCGTAAATTCAGCCTCAAAGGAACTGTAAATAGAAGGGTATTTTTGCAGAGGTTGACAGAACAGTATTATCTGTATTTTCCTAAATGGGGAGAAAACAGGGGTATAAAAGGGTGTGTGTCTAAGTCGCACTGGCCATATGACCACGGAAGATTGTCTTCGGACAAACGCTAGCTCTATGGGTTGGGAACGGAGATGAGCACTGCGCCCTAGAGTTGGACAGGACTGGACAAATTGTCAAGGGGAATCTTTACCTTTACCTAAAGCCAATTAAGCAGATCACACTATTTGTAAAATAACACAAGCAAGGAATTTTTTTATCTACCATGGAAGACTTACAATGACTTCAACTTCAACTAATTTAACAGTGGCCTCTCCTAAGCTTGGAGACAAAGAAAAATAATACTGAGATGAACATGTACACACTGGCTGTTTTTCTCAAGTTTATGATTTCAGCTGCATTTCTCAAAATAAGATCACTAGAGACAAGGACCTTGAGGCTACTCTGAACAAAAATGCTGCATAAAGCGCATGTCTAGGCTGTCAACCCCACTGCACTCAGGGAGAAGGGCCAAGGGTATGGACTAAGGGCAGGAAGGTGGAAAAACAGTCAGTCTCTGTAATTAATCTGGTCCTGGAGCACAAAGTCAGACATACAGCAACTCAGCAACTGCTGGCTATGGGTAGACTGAAAAAAGGATTGTGTACTGGGCCTATTTTCTCTTTAGCCATTTTTCAGAAGTGAGCATTTAAAAAAGCAGATTTAAAAGAGCATTTTATATGTGTTCATTGTAATAGATTGTCATGGCCAACTCTCTCTGTAATTTGTTCCTTATGGGAGGGTCTGCATAAAGAATTTAAGAAGATATGTTGAAAGTATTTGATTTAATATATCTTGAGCATGTTACCCCAAACTAACAGCTTGTGTGAGTGATGACTGGAGGGCAGCAAGTACTGGAATTAGTAATAGAGCTACCAATGTATGTAGGGAAGGTAGGGGAATGTGGGAGTGTGGAGGTGGTGGTGAAACACTGAGATAACTGTTGAAAGGAAATGATGCTTAAAAGACCAAAAAGCAAACAAAACAAATACAAGCACAAAACAAGCATACAGATGAAAAGGAAAATGGATGGGTAGCCAAGGCAGTTGGCTGCCGTAAAACCCACAAAGAATCTTGCAGCACCTTGAAAACGAAGAAGCGTTAATAGGCATAAGCTTCCATGAATTGCTGCATACCATTTCAACAGATGTCCAAGAAAGCATGCAAAGTTATGTGTGCAAAAGAATGGCAGGACTATATGTTGCAGAATTATAGATGGCAAGCAGAGGATAAGAAGAATCAATTTTAAAAAAATTGATTTAAATCAAATTCACCCTGATACTGACTAAGCAAGAAGGAATTGACTGGTAGTTTTTCTCCATCCCAATGTTTTGCTGATTCCTGTTCAAGGGTATTGACTCACTTTCACCCTATCTCAGAATATGGGGAATCTTTGGCCTTCCAAATGTTTTGGACTGAAAGTCACACAATCCCTTATCAGTCGCCATACTGAGTGGAGCTGATGGGAAAAATAAGCCCAAACACTCACAGGGCTAAAGGTTTACCACTCCTGCCTTAGCTGCTAGCTCATAATTACAGATACAAGGATGGGAGGGGGGGAGGTAAAAAGATGGCACACTATCCTGAAAGATTGATACCAAGACACTACTAGCTTATTTTTCATCAGGGGCACCTATGGATCATAATTAGTGTCTCAGCATTTGTACGCACCATTATATTTCTACAAACCACTACTCAACCCAGGGAGGTATAGGCCACAGACTGAGACCATACAATTTAAACAGAACACATCTCCAGTTAATTCACATAAATCATAGCATACTCACGGCTCCACAATGAATAGGAAAGGCGACAGTTTACTCTTCGATAAAACTGCTTGTTTATAGGCCAGAGGATTAGCGTGCATAGCTGGATGAAGTTAATGATGAGCCCACTCACGACAAAGACAAACCCAATCAGGAGATGAACTATAAACTGGGTCTTCAGAAATGCAATTAAGCCCATGATAACCAATTAGGAGCGCTTGCAAGGTCCTTCACTCAGAATAACCGTCCTACAGAAAAAAAGGAAAGAAAAATATTGCTTATCAAATGAAATATCCATAAACTAGAGTGGTGGTGGTGGTAAGATAGATTAAGAGTCCTCTATTCCAAGTAGCAGCTGGGGAACCATAAAAGATATTTTAGTCACCAGGCCAATTCCATTCAGGTCTTTCTTGGCTGTGGATCAAGAGCTGGTTAACACTACGTCACAGACTCATTTCAAGCAACAGTACCAGCACCTCTTGATAAAAATGAGAACAATTCAACTCTTCCACATTTGTGATTCCTCACAAATGAAGCCACTTTTCCAAAAGCCCTGGCTTCCGAAGCCATAATTTAAATGGACAGCTTTTGTTTGGTATAAAAAGAACATAAGAGTGCCTTCCCTTCAGAAGTAAACACCTAACTTTAGCCTTTTTGCCACCACAAAGCATAAAAGATTGGTAAGCAGTTGAGGGAGCAGGAAGATGCCTAGCTTTTGCCTATAGAAGGAGAACCTCATCTCATTCTATGCAAAGTTTAAGAGAAACAGCTAAAGAAACAGAATATGTGCAACTGACAGACCACATATCAAATGGTATCCCCCCAGCTGATGTCCATTTTTCTAGACCACAGTCAGATATAACTACAGTATCAAGAAAACCATGTCTTAATCTAATTCATAGTTCCACATAGATTAGACTCACTGGCTGAAATCCAGTAATAAATCACAGCTACTAGGCATACTGAATCAGTGGAACTGACATTGGAATTTACTAATCGAATCCCCAGTGATCCACTGAGCCTATTCTAGCTGTGACTTACTACTCGATTTCAGGCACTGAATCAACTGCTGAATGGAATGTTACCACATATGTTGTGATCCAATGTGTTGACTCTAGTAGGGACTATCAACTAGATTTGGATCAGTGGCTATAAAATGGAAATCACTACAAACACATTTGGATGGTAGGAATTATAGCTCTGGCCCTAAATTACTCTCTTAAAAAAACTGAAACTCTTTTTGCAAAATTAGTAATTGAAATGGTAAGATACCTATGAACAGCAGGAATGATTCAGAACTGTGCAATTTCAGGTCTGTCTGTCATCTGATTTTAAAATAAAATTCTGCACCAAAGCACACAAAATTCCTTGTCAAGAAAATATGCATCTTATGAAAGTCTATATCATCCTTGATAAGCTTAAGGATTCAAAATTAGTGATATGGATATGTAGATAATTAACAAGGTGGTGAAAAGAACTAGCCAGAGTGAGGAAATACATATTAGAAAGTAGACACAGCTGCTGGGAAGTACATTGGTGGATAGGATTGAAAGAAGTGTATAATATGAGAGATGTTAAGATAATATCCAGTTAAAGATGGGTTGCGCACAGAACTTGGAAAAGTTACCATTTTGACCTACAACCTCAAGGAACCTCATGCTGGTTGAGAGACTTCGGGATTTATAAGCCAAATACAATTCTTGAGCTCTGGCTATGCACAGATGGTGGAAAGGGGAAGACAGGACAGATAATATACCAAATGTCTGTCTATAACACTCTTTGTTGGTTTGGGGACAAAGAGTTATACAAGAACTCCAGAGCTGCTCCGGGCTCTTGAAATCCTTGCCAAGGGAGGCTAGGCTGGCCCCTCTGGGTTCCCCTTCAAGAGGCCTTTGGCATTTAAGCTGGGTGACTGTTGGAACTGTTTTTAACTGATTGAGTGCTGTTATTCCTCTATACAAAGGGAGCAGAGAAGCAGCAATGAAGGAACAAAAACAGTGCTCTCTATAGCCCCCTGTCTCTGTCCTTCTTGAACTAGAAAGCACTCATTTTTCACAGCTTCTTAATGGACTCCATAAATGACAATATGATATGTTTTTCCAAACTGTCTTCCCTTGCCTTTCATCTAGCATTCCATACCATTGATTTAAAAACCTAAATACTGTATGTTAATTCTTATGCAATATGATTCCATCTTCAGTTTTGCTTCAATGGAGCTTCATGGTGCAGTGGTTAATCTGCAGTGAAGACTCTGCTCACAACCTGAGTTTGATCCCAATGGGCTCTGGTAGACAGCTCAAGGTTGCCTCAGCTGTCCCTCTTTCCAAGGTTGGTAAATTGTGTAGCCAACTTCCTGGGGAAAAGCAATGTGTAGTTTGCATAATTAAATTGTGAACTACCCAAAGAATGTTTTAAGCACTATGGGGCAGTATATAAGCAGCACACACAATGTGAAGAGGAACAGGATTGGAGAAACAGACAAAAGCATTTGTCCAAGGAAGGCAAACTATAAGCAAACATGGTACACGAGCCTTAGGACAAAGGCTTTCCAAATCTGGTCCTCTCTAGACTACACTTTCTTATACCCAGACAGACCCAGCAAATGGACATACTGAGTGCGCTGCTACAGCATGTTTTAGAGCTTTCATGTAGTGCAAGTCAAGGAGGAGCCTTGGCTTACTATTTCCATGTGTACCAAACATGAATACAATCAAGTGGTTTTTTTCAAACTTTTTTTTTTGCACAGAATGTCACAGAAAAGGGGTCATGATTAATTTACCAAATACTAGAGATCTTTCTAATGGAGGAATATTTGTTTTCAAGCTAAGCATATGAGTCTCCATCAGCAGTTGAAAGAGGTCATGCAATAATGGATTATCAACACATCAGTGGCAGCTGGCTTCAGTACCAAGTTTCACCAAGGTCTTCACCATTCATCACTACACATCTAAACCTGTTACATATCAGTCTACTACCTTAAGCCCCTCAGCCAACTACAAGCCTTCACACATTTAAGTCCTAACTAGAGATGGGAGTGTTTGTATTGGTATACGAAAACCTCTGCACAGGTGGTGATAACAAAGGTCCAGCTTCATGGGGCCAGATGGTCCACTCACAATTCTGACCCTGCTGCGAGCTCCGGGATCCTTCCTATCACTCCGGAGCTTGCGAATGGCTCGCCACTCCTGGGAGGAGGCGGGACGACAAGCCTCTCTGCCAGATCAGAGAGTGGCTTCACAGATCGCAACTCCAGAGTGATAGGATGGATCCCGGAGCTTGCGGCAGTGGCAGAATTGTGAGTGAACTGTCTGGACCCGTGGAGCTGGACCCTCGTTATTGCCACCGGTGTGGGGGTATTTGTATACAAATACCCCCATCTCTAGTCCTAACAGGTTGTCCACTTTCAACCACCTATGCCTGTTTTAACAATGATAACCATCTCTGGTTATGAGTAAGAAAGTGGAAATTTGTCACATTCGTAAACCAACACCCCCATTCAGCTTCTGCTGAATGGTAAGTCTGCTGGCATAGTAGTGTGAGATTATTTATTTACAGTATTTTATTTTATTTATACCCCACCCATCTGGTCTTCCGACCACTCTATGCCACTTGTACACGCATTGTTATTGAGCAAGCAGTCATCTCCACAAAGAATACCTGCCCTCTACTTGGAAATTGGCAATTTGTGTGCAGGCTGCATGATCCTGTATCATTCTGCTAGTAGAACGTTTTTCCCAACAGAAGCTCAGTAGGGTAATGCTCCAATTTCTGCACCTCAGGCCTCTGGCTTTCTCAGATATCCACTCAACCCAGAGCATACTGCCTCCATCTATTGAGGAGCTAGTGGTCTCAAATTCTCCTAGATCAGGGGAAAAGGGAGATGGCCCACCCATGGGACCCTGGTGGTGGTGTCTTCTTTCTCATGCAGATGCATTGGTTAAAGTCAATGGGTAAACTATTTCCAGGATGAAGTGGACCATATTATACGCACCTTCTACTTTAGTGTTAAAATACAAGGATGATGGGGTGGGGAATATACTGACCCTCAGTCAACACTTACATTGTTGAAAACACAGAGATTTAAACCTAGATTTGTAAAAGCTAAACACTGAAAGCCCTGGAATGGGATGGATCTATCTGTGTCTTCAGTTTCTCCTACAATTGTATTTTTCCCTGTCTCAAGCAATTTCTGTATCAAATATTTGGAAATTACGGTATATTCTTATTTTAAAAAACTAAGCTGGAACAGAATTGCCATCCCTCCCTAATTCAGCATCAGCAACATTTTAAAGAAGCATCTTCCAGAAGCCAGGTTCTGAAACAGACATTTCAGCCACTCAATCCCGCTGCCACTTACATATCATTAAGAGCTCTGACTACAAAATGACAGCCTCCTTATTAAAAAGGAGAACAGTTGCAACTCCCACTCATCAGTAGCTTCCTTCCGATCAAAAGAATACATCTCTTTTCTGTTCATGCCACAGAAAATATGAGTGGCATTTGATTCATTTAGAGCTGGGCCATGGAGGAGTATATGCTAAGGGGGCGGGGAGGAAGAATACAATGCAAAGATAAAGCAGGGATGACAGTGGTTGGAGTCCTATGATAACATAATGAAATAAAAATAAGGATAGTGTCTTCCTGCTCCTCCTCATTCCCTGCAGAAAACAGCCTTCTTAGAATGCCTCTGTGAAAAAGACAACCCCAAATAATATGGGATTAAGTGAAGGGGGTTAACAGGTGAAGGAAAGGACAGCAAATATCCCCTTCCATGACGTTTTTTAAGTTAGCCTGTCTTAAGACCCAAACCATCATCTGTCCCCATTTTACCATAAAAAGAAATACCATTTCTTTTGGGGCTATGTTCATTCAGGTGAAAATGAAAACAAAATACCTATTTTTCAACCTGATACAAGGTCATCCTTTTACTTCCCACATCTTGAAAAGGATCTGAATCTGTGACTAAAATACTAGCGCACACTTTTCAGATATCAAATTCCAAACAGAAGACAGCAGAATTTGTCTCAAAACAAACTTACACACGATTGCACAATGCCTTTCAAATCATCTGAAATTCTCTCTTGAGAATGATAGTCATATCTTTGTTTGAAATTATTTATCTGAATTATCACCTATCAACATACACTACTGTTCCCTTTGGATGGACAATTTAAAGTCCAAAAGTGATTTGCAAACAACACATATGCTCTTCATATATATGGACAAGTTAAATGGGAAAGAACAATTT